CTTGAATTCTTAACACTGTGTGAGCATACGTTACTGAATTAGCAATAATATTATTAGCTCCTGTGACTCAGCCATGTACTCTAAGCAAATGGAATACTCACACAGCCTTTTTTGTTTGTTGTTTGCATTTTCTCTTTTTAATTTAAATTTATTTGTTTTTAATTGGAGGATAATTGCTTTACAATGTTGTGTGGGCTTGTGCCATACAACAGCATGGATCAGTAATAGGTATATGCAAGTCCACTTCCTCTTGAGCCTTCCTCCCACCTCATACCCCATCCCTCCCGTCTGTCAGAGAGCACGAGATTTGAGCTCCTTGCTATATGATGCAGGGAGCTCAAATCCGGTGCTCACACAGCCTTTTAAGAATACATATTCTGTAGGATACCTTGTGGTCTACTGTTATTGTTCACCATTCTCTCTTGAGTTTTAATTTATCTTAAGCTGAAGGTGTCTGATATGAAAGGCAGAAAATAGTGACGAATGCTGATGATGGGACTAGATAGACGCAATGCAAAGAACACGGGCATGACAGAAAACCAATTCTCAGGGTGCTCTGATCCCCGGTTCTGATTCTGGTGACAACCTCCAAAGATGTTAAAGAATGAGACTCGTCACCTATCAGATATGAAGGAGAATATCTTGACAGTGAGGGTTCCAGACAATATGTATATAAAATCAGCTCCAAAGAGTTGAGGACAAGGTGAGTTTAACGAGATGTAGATAAGATTGAGTTTTAAAGGCTTAGAGATGAGCCTTTGTCTACTGTTTGTAAAAATGAGCTCCTTTAAAATACCTTGTTTATTAGTTAACATAAATATAGTATGGATCTATTTAGCCACAGATACGTGATGTGACGTGAAAGTTGCTCAGTTGTGTCTGACTCTTTGCGACCCCACAGAATGTAGCCCACTAGGCTCCTCTGTCCATGGGATTCTCCAGGCAAGAGTACTGGAGTGGGTTGCCATAGCCACAGATAAGGAATCCTAAAAGTTAAAAAGTGCCTTAGATTACATTTTCACTATTACTGATCTGTTGACCTCGCAACTGGGCAGTCCACTAAGATGACGTATCTGGTCATAACTAAGTGTACAGTAATAGCGAAGATGTAAGAGTGCCTCCAAATGATCAGCATCTTTTCTCTGGTTCCAGCATTTTGTCTGGGCATTCATCCATGCCAGTTCTTGATCAATGAATTTTCTTGTTGTGTTTACTTACTTCAGACTTTGGAATTTCTTGTCTGTTGGTCATTTATTCATTCATATTCACAAGTATTAATAAATATTTGGTGCCATTGCTCTGCTAGTCACTGGGACCACAGAAATGAACAGGGTTTAAAAGGACACTATTTCATCCTTCGAGGAACTTTTATTCTGGAAGGTAGACAGACCAAAGACTCAGTGACTATTAAACGGTGTGCTCATATGGCAGGCCACCTGTACATCCTGGGGATGCACAAGCTGGGCAGGTCTAGGAAATGTTTGCAGTGACACATGCACACAGTTATTTAGTATAACATGTGTGTGATAGTTACAAAATAGATAATTATGATGCACAATTGATATTGTGTTATACTATATATCATATACAATGTTAGATATATTATATATCTTATATATACCCAAAATCATTATGTTTAGATGAGGTCAAACAATACTAGTGTCCATCAATAAATAAACAATGAAACAGAGATATACTGATATGGAAATAGCTCCAAAATATCTAATAAGTAAAAAAATGGAGAGTTTCAGAGAGGTGACTATCATAGGCAGTCTTTTGAGGAGCAAATAAGAACATAGAATCACATTTTGTTATATTTGCATAAAGACACTTTGGAATCCTATGCATAACCCTAAACAAACAAACAAAACAAATGGGTTGTGTTGCCCAATGGGGAGCAGAGATAGGGGATCCAGGCAAGTGGGGACCCAAGGTTAGGAGGGAGGATTTCACTGCACACATTTTTACCTCTTTGAATTAAATGAATGAATTATCTATTTATCTATATCTATCTATTTATCTAATTACCTATCTATTATTGATCTATCTAATTATCTATTTAATTACCTATATAAACCTGTCCTGGAACTTTCAGAGGAAAGATGTCTCCTCATGGACTGTGGCCAGTGGATGAAGAGTTGGGGGTGGGGAGGTGAAACGTATCCATAGGTAGATTATTCAAACACTTCCATCTCAACTTGCCAGAGAGAGCTGCTGCCCTGAAACCCTCCTCCACCATCCTAGCCACCTCTGTTGGCTCCTCCCTGTGAACTTCTAGATTTTCTGGCACCTCCAGCAATTGTAAGGGTAACCTTTGAAGCAGTAGGGCCTCTGGGACTCCGCCCCATCTCAGAGTCCTTTGCCTGTTTACTTAGCAGTTGCCCAAGCAGCACGGGCTATTAAATCTTACCACCATCACCCCTTATTTTTCCCCAGAAACAAGACTGACATTTTAGCACATGCTAAGTGACTGATACAGGAAGCATTTCCATATCATTGGATTTTTTAAAAAATCCAAGTTCTAATCATTGTAAATCTATTCATATGAAATAGATAGAAAATACAAGAAAACCATATGCAGTCAACCACAACAATAATACATAATTATATTGCGGTGAGACAAAGTCAGGATACATTTTATTTTAACATAAAAAAGATAAAATACTGAAATTGTTGTCTGGCAGGTATATTACACAAGAAAAGTCAGAGATCAGCAGCTAATATTTTTACTGCTGGAAGGCCGAACAGTATAACAGGGATTATGTGTGCAGGTGGACAGTTCTAAATGTTCACTAAACTAATATGCCATGGAATTGATTTGTGAATGACAAGTACTTTTAGGGGGCAACACACACTTTATTTAGTGCTTTTCTCTAATGTAGTTTTCTATGTGTCAGTTCAGTTTCTTATCAAATAAATACTTTCACCTTGCTGTTCATTTGAATTGGAGTTACTATGAAGAAAGGACTTTTTGATTCTACAGCATTCTGCTGCATTATGAAAACTTAGAAATCATGCCATTACTCCACAAAACAAACGGTTTAGCAATTTTCTGTGAATTTTTTAAAGAAGGGGAATCTGTTCATATATGAAGGATTCTAGAAAAAAATGTTTCAATGTAAAAAAATTCACTAAGAACCTTTAGAATCTAAAATATGAGAGAGTACTGTTTCACCTTACAACAGGTTGAAAAAATTTTTAAAGAAAATTTGCCTCCATTTTTTTTTTAAATTCAAAGATTTAAACATATATTTTGCCACAATTCCATAGGTAACTTCCAGGAGAGTAAGGAAAGACCAGAGAATACAGAAAGATTGATAAACATATATTGACAAGTAACAACAAACATACAGGAACCAAGAATAATCAGATTCCTTGTTACATCTCTGAAAGAAAATTCCTTACCATTGAGATCCAACCTCTTTCTTTGAATTCAGTGTAGAATTTGCTTTTAATTGAACTAGGACACTAAAAGATCTTTGGAGTTTTATGTTCAAGTCTTAAGTCTTTCTAGAAAATTATGATTCAAACATGCTCTAAAATGCTATTTTAGACCTTAACATATGTGGTTTAAAGAACAATAACTAATACATTCTGTAAAGGAGGGTAAGACTAGTACACTGATGGCCCCAAACGAGCCATGGCTCCTAGTATGTTCACCTCTCTAGAGGCCCCTCCCACAATAATGCTGGGCTTGATCACGTGATTTGCCATAGCCAATGGGACATTAGAAGGCTTTACTCTCAGGAAGAGGCTAGATAAATGCTTGCAGGTTGGGCTTCTCTTCTTGGAACCCAGCTCACTGGCTCTAAGAAAGCGTCTCAAGTTTTCTTCAAAAAGACAAGCCATGTGGAGGAGAATGTGGGTCAACAGCCAGCCCCAGATACATGAGTGAGGACATCTAGGATAGTGTAACCCCAGCAGAGCTCCTTGTTGAAAAGTTTACACGAGTGACCGTGGCCAGTATCCGTGAAGCAGAATGGCCTAGATTCCTCACCCACAAAACTCAAAGCAACACACTGATATTGTTTTCAGTAATGATATTTTGGAGCAGTTTGTTACATAGCAGTAGATAGTGTTTACTGTAAGTGTTACAAGGACTCCTAAAGTTCTTTCTGGAAATAATTCCAAGTCCATTCTTCATTGACATACACCTCTTACGCTTCTATCATCTATTTATTTATTATTGAACCTGAATCTCTTGTTCTGACTCTAACCCGTTGGAACAGAAGAACGGGGATGTGAAAAGCATATATTGACTCAAAAAAACACCAAATCCTTGTTGGAGCTCAAGGAAAAAGAATTCCTGATGATGGTATATACCTTAAATTAATTCTACTCCACAGTGTGATCAAACTGTGGGTGGGGCAGTCTGGTGAAAAGAAAATATCTTTAAGGAATTCCCAGCACATAGGCTTTGTGTGGTCCGGTCAAGTCATTTCCTCTCTATTTCTCTAAATGGAACTGTATCCTCACAACCAATTTTAGGCACTAAAATGTGTAGGACTCTCTGGAAGAATTTGTTTTCTTAAGGAATAATTATTTGAAATATGAGGTTTATTAGATTGAGAAAGACACTGGGCATATTTCCACCCTTTTTTCTCTAGAACGCATGGGTATTAGTAAGAGAATGCATTAGGAGTAGTAGCAGTAGTAGAAGTGTATTAGGAGAAGAATCCATGGTACCGAATGGACAGTCACCATTTCTGGAGGACAGTGATACTATTGCACTGAATTATGTGGATTGCATCTCAAGTTAGAAACTATAGCAGTTAACTGGTTCTAAAAAAAAATGTCTGGATATCAAGAGGAAAAAGACATAAACTGCCATCAAGCATAACAAATGTTAGCATCATTACTGTTATTTCCATTGTTTAAAGGATGTTCTCTGTGTACTAATCTATGGTATTATCTACCAGGACAGCATGGGTGGAAGGTTTAGATACAAAATGACATTAAAGAGAGTCCAGATCTGACAATGACACAGACGTGATACTTACAGAGAGCAGGATTTGGACGGCACTGTGGATGACCTCCAGGTACTGGAAGTCAACAATGCAGCCGGTGACAGAGACATACGTGTAATCGTCCGTCATGCCATGGGCTGACGGGGGCAGTACTCTTCGGACACAGCCGGGCCCGTGTTCCCGCCACCATGACCGGTGCACAGAGATGTTGAATGTCATTAGGTCTGTATCCTAGGAGGGCAGGAGACAAGACAGAGAAAGGAGACAAACATTACATCACATCTTTGACTTTCACCTTAGGAAGAATTCAGGATGAATGAAATTGCTGAAATGGTTTAAATTTCAGGTAAAGAGTGATAAAAGATGAACCTAACATGACTGCACAGGTCATATGAATGAAATAGCTTACTTTATTCAGTGGGGAGATGTAATTCTTTGAATGATAACATTTTAAGGTTAGCACCACATCAAAAATTCAGAGATGATGTATTTGTTTAAAAATTCGTGTCTATTTATTTAGTTTTTTATTGGACTATTGTTGACTTACAGTGTTGTTTTAGTTTCTGCTGCACACCAAAGTGACTTGGCCACATGTATACATGTATCTCCTGCTCCTTGAAATTTCCTTCTGATTTAGGTCACCACAGGGCATTGAGTAGAGTTCCCTGTGCTGTACAGTAGGTTTTCGTTACTTCTCTATTTTATAAACAACATCAGTAGTGTATGTATGTCAGTTCCAATCTCCCAATTCATCCCACCCCTCCCTTCAATTATATTGTCCACGTTGGAATTTTCTTCTCTGTTTCCTTATTGCTGCATTGCCATTGGTATCACCATCATGGTCACATGTACTGAGAGTTTATTTTTGCCTGCGAGACATTGTTCTAAGCACTTTCCATATATTATGCATTCATGCAGGTATCATCATCCTAATTTACAGTAGTTGAATAATGGTCCCCCTAAATCACATTTATAGCCAACTCCCTGGAATCTGTGAATTCTGCCTCATACAGCAAGAATAGGACTTTGTAGCTATGACTGTGGTAAGGATCATGAAATGGGGGGATTATCCTGGATTGTCTGATGGGCCCTAAAGACAATCACATGTCTCCTTTTAAGAGGGAAGGAAAGGGATGCTAGACACAAGGAAGAACAGAACAACAGGGTGACCACGGAGGCAACAATTGGAGTGATGTGGCCACAGGAATGCTGACCACCACCAGAAGCTGGGAAAGATCAGAGAAGATTATCCCTAAAACTCCAGAGGGAGCCTGGCCCTGGCAGCATCTCAATTTCAGTCCAGTGAAACTGATTTCAGACTTCTGGCCTCCAGAACCATGAAAATACACATTTCCATTGTTTAAGACAGTAAGTTCGTCGTAGTTGTTGTATAGCAATCATTAAAAAAAAAAAATCAAAGCAGATGAGGAAAGTTGGCCACAGAAAGGAAAAGTAAAGTGCCTAACCTCATTAATAAATAAATCAAAAGAACTTCCTATGTATGGTAGGGCTTCCCTGGTAGCTTAGTTGGTAAAGAATCTGCCTGCAATGCAGGAGACTCTAGTTCCATTCTTGGGTCGGGATGATACCCTGGAGAAGGGGTAGGCTACTCACTCCAGTATTCTTGGGCTTTTCTGGCAGCTTGGACAGTAAAGAATTCTCCTGCAATGCAGGAGAACTGAGTTCAATCCCTGGGTTGGGAAGATCCCCTGGAGGAAGGCATGACAACCTATCCAGTATTCTTGCCTGGAGAATCCTCAAGGACAGGGGTGCCTGGCCGGCTACAGTCCATGGGGTCACAAAGAGTCAGACACAATTGAGCAACACGGCAAACAGCATGGCATGTAGTGGTAGACCCAGAACTTGATCCTATGCAGTCTACACTGTCCACTGTGATGTGGTGTTTTCCCATTCCTCTGTTCCCCTGCCCAACCCTCTACAATTCCTCAGACCCTGAAGGGAGCTAGATCCTTCCTCTTTAGTTGTCTTCAGAAAATGCCACCATATCCGAGCAAAAGAACAAAGAAGGCAAGCCTTGACTTTCCATATCAAAACAGACTTCTGAAAACTCTTAAGAGAGATACCTGTGCAGATGTTTAAACCTCAAGAGAGGCCTTTTAGTACCTGCAGGGTGTCAGCTATGAACGACTAAGGTGATAATGTTTTTGTCATAAACAATAGTTTAAAAAGAACAGATGAGGAACCAGACTCTTGGCTCCCAGATAAAGTAAAGATTACAGCTGCTGGTTGGAGCAGGAAGGAGGAGGGGTGAGGATGGACAGAGGGCAAGGGCGCCTACAGACCATAGTTGGCGGACCGGGACATGGATCTGCTGGGGAACTGAGGATTCAGGAGCCGGAGAGTGGGTCATTCCCAGTCTCCACTCCCAGCGAGCTTGCTGTCACTAGTGCCAGGGGGACGTGTTGAGTGGGTACCACAGATGGCCCTTGTTCAGCCACCCAGGGGCCACCCACTGATTGTGAACCCACAAATGATGCAGCTCTGTGCAGACCTGTGCTACTGAGAGAACTGTCCTCACCTGAGTGGCGTAGGACACTCCTAAGTACAAGGCATCCAGGTTGGAACTCTGCAAACTGACAGGAAACTGGTGTGAATTGGAAAGTTCTTGAACTTCTAGGTGGCTGGTCCTGAAAACCAGTGTGGGAGCAAGGACACACAGAGCAAGGACAGTGGCGGACCCTCTCGCTCGTTACTCTGCTGTGTGTGGTTCCCACATTGTGAGGTGAGGAACGTTTCCAGTTCACGCTGGTAGGCAGTTACTCCACAGTTTTAGATTTTCCTCAACTCAATTCAAAGTTCCATTATAAGAATGCCTGTGATTAGATCAATAATAAAACATGTTCTTTTCTTTTTTTTTTTTTGGTGTTGCTTTGCTACAAATATCATTCACTTACCTTCATGGTTACGGCATTTTATGGATAATAAGACATTTTACATCATCCTGTTTTTAGGTGTTGGTTAGCTATATGTATCATTTGCAGTTACCCTCTGGAGGGAAAGTATTATAGAAAAATAATTGCTTTCGCTAGTGAATTTAATTTCACACAAGGCAATTTACCTGCAGGCAAACTGCATGCTACACTCTTTGCTAGCCATCAGATTTAATCTCTTGGAGTTAGTCTTGGTCACTGCAGATGAACTATTATTTTTTATTTTAATAGAATTCATTAGGTTCAGGATAAATTAGTATTATCTCAAAATTCATAGAGATCTCTACTCTTTAAGCATTCTTACCCTTACTAATGCAGGACTGACTGTAAGTTCCTTTTAATATGGAATAAATAAAATAAATAAAATTTATTTTACCCAAATAAAACAAAAGTGAATCTATGAACTAATGATACATATTTGTTACACTCATAAAAATGTCTCAGTGTGGTTCTCAATTTGTTGGGACTACAACATATTTATGGGCTTCCCAGGTGGCCCAGCAGTAAAGAATCTGCCTGCGGTGTAGGAGACTCAAGCTCAATCCCTGGGTTCATCCTGGAGAAGGAGGTGGCAATCTGCTCCATTATTCAGGCCTGGAAAATTCCATGTATAGAGGAGTCTGGCGGGTGACAGACCTTGGGGTTGCAAGGAGTCAGACACAACTGAGTGATTGAGCATGCGCACGAACACACATAATATGTTTATAAACTGTACTATTCTTTGCAAGGACTGTATAAAGTTTGAATGAGAACCTCAGTAGCATCAGGTGATATTTAAAATTCAAGACTTTTACTTAAATTTGGTATAAAATTTTACTACGAGTTTGTGTATAATTTCTATCTCCTTTAGCAGTTAGATTTCATACATTAAAAAACACCTTAACACATAATAAACTCAATTTCCTATGAGAGGCATGTCAGAGAAAATGCAACTCAGAAAACTGTGACTTTTAAATAAAGAAAAGTAAACAAAGAAATAAATGCAGAAAATGTAGAAGATTGTTAATTTTGTTGGCACTTTTGGTTATCATATCAAAACTGTCAGTTCTGAAATATACAGGTAAGTGCTAAAATAATCTTAAAAATAACTACAAATAATTAATGTTATTAATTGTTCTTTCTTGGAAATAACATTCTTGCTTAAATGTTATTTCTTGGAGTCAGAATATTATCTGAGAATTTAAGCACACCATGGTTAAGAAAATTGACATAGATAATGGTATTTGGATTTATGTGAGTGTATATTATCACCAAGGGAAAGGAGAAAGAAAGCAAGGAGACAGAGAGAAAGATGAAGGGTTTGGGAGGCATCAGGACAACCTGCGGAGAGAGAGCATGTCAAGATCAACTGGAGTGAGAACTTGGTAAAGCCGGAGACAAAACACCACGTATTGAATTTCCTGTTGGTGTGCCAATGGGGACCTTATAAATACAATGCCAGAAGAGTGCTGGGAGTGAACAATTGGATTTCAAGGAATTGAGGGGATTGAGAAGAGAGGTTTGGTGTTTTTCATGAAATTGGGACTCCAGGTAGTAAGAACATGGGATGCCGGCTTCCAGGGTAGACAAGGAGAACGAGGGTCAATATACCTGCTCACACTCACCAGATTATGACTTAAAAGAAAATTATTCCAGAGTATCTGCTTTTCCCTGAATATCTACCCAACTAAATACTAAATGTTTAAAAGCCCTTTCATCTCACTCGTGTGAATCTCAAAGTTGTTCCCATTTTCTTAAAGTACTCAAGTTAAAAAAAAAACCTTCTAGCAGTCTTTGAAATGTTCATTTTTGAGGTAGACATGACTGCTCACTTTTATTGGCAGTAAGTGTAGTCACAGTATTGGAACCAGTTCGCATCCTGAAAAATTCAATATTCACTTTCTATTATAGTGGACTACTATATAATTTTTCATTAATCAAAGATCTAGTCTCTCTCTTAGTCTTTGTTCTTTTAATTATCTGCTTTTTTGGCATGTGTTTAATTTAATTTTAGCTAATCTGCTCTATTTCTAGAAATGGACTCCCAACTACTAATAATCATTTTTTCCCCTTCTTCCTTAGTTGTGACTGGAAGGTTCTTGAAACCAGTTTTGTATGGTATCTACTCTCTTTGTCTTTTCACTTTCTTTTGTCATAAACCAGCCCATGTGAAAGTGAAAATGTGACCTTGAAGAGAAGTACACATATATTTAAGAAAATAGATTTTGCTCAGTTTTAGAGTTAGCTTTGAGTTTACATTTATATAATAAAATTCATGTCAGTTGAAACTT